ACCCACCCCACCCCACCCGGACCCACACCCTCTTAAAACCCTCTCAGGTTTGGCTACGTGATGGACGTCTACATGCCCAAGTCAAAGGACAACAAGGCGGAGCACCGCGGCTTTGGCTTCGTGACCTTCGAGACCGACGCCGCCATCAAGCGCGTCGTCGGCGCCGGCTCCCACCGCCTGCGCAACTCGACGATCGCCATCGACATAGCCATGCCCAAAGAGGAGGACGCCGGCGCCGCCGCCGCCCCCAACGGCGGCGGCTGCGGCGCGGCGGCAGCCGCCGTGCAGGCGCAGGCGCACGCGGCGGCCGCCGCGCAGGCGGCGTTTGACCACGCGGGCGCGTTCAACGCGGCCGCCGCGGCCGCGGGCCTGGGCGGCAGCCTGGGCGGGATGGTGCAGGCGCCCGGCTTTGATGCGGCCGCGGCGGCCGTCGCCGGGCTCGCCGCCGCACGCCAGCTGCAGGCGGCGCAGATGCCGCTCCTCTGAAGGGCACACGCGGCGTGAGGGGGCGAAGGCCCCGCCCGCAGCGCCGCCCCAGCGGCGCCGGCGGGCGCCGCACGGCGCCGTCGAGCCCGCGCACGCGCGGCAGGCGGCGCCTGGCTGCCGGCGAGACGCCGGCCGCTCGGCCCTCTTCGCCCCACCTCCCTCGCCCTTCCCCGGCCTTTGTCAGTCCTGCCCGCCCGTGCTGCCTTGACGCGGCGTCAACGCGACCAAAACGCCCGTCCCTGGCCCGCGACTGACGCGGGGCGCCCTGCACGCGCACTGCGCAGCTGGCGCCCCGCGGCACAGGGCGCACGCTGTTTGGTCCGCACCGCGTGTGCCGCTCGCGCGGGCAGGACGGGCAGATGCGCCTGCGCCTCGCCGTTTCTTGATTGCTTTCGACTTTGGTGTGAGCGGCGGCGCCGCGTGTGCGCCTGCCGCCAGCCGTGCGCGGCACGGCACCGCGCGGCGCGGCGTCGTGCCGTCTCGCGCCTCTTGTGTGTGCGTCTTGGGGGCCAACCGAGCAGGGGGCGGACCGCCTGAAAAGAGCGCGGCGTGTGTTGTGTGGAGCCGCGGTTTCCAGGGGGGCCGGCCGGCTGCGCTTCGCTCCGAGGCTGGGCGCGGCACGGCGCAGGCCCCCTTTTTTGGTGTCTGGTCTGGTCTGATCTGATCTCATCTGCAAGCAGGCGTCTCGACAGGCGCAGCTGCACCGCTGCACGCGCGCGCCCTCACGCTGCGGAAGGGGAGGGGAGAAGATGGGGCAGCGGCGCCGACCCCTGGCCCCATCTCGCGACCGCAGGAGAACTCACGCACCCATTGCCGGGCAGAGTGCTGGCGTGCGCCTTTGTGTGTCGTACCGCGGGCGCCGCATCGCACTGCGCGCGCCCGATGGCTGCTGCTGTCCCAGTGTCTCGAGCCTGTGCCGCGGGGTCGTGCCGCTCCCGCTGCGGCCCTTTGGTGGTGGGCGCTGCCCCCCCTTCCCCCCCCTTCCTACACCCTACCCCTCCCAACGTCCCAGCTGTGTGCAAGAGGGGGCCTTTCAGCAACTGAAGCGTCCGGAAGAACCGTCCCCCGCCCCCTCACCGCGTTGTTTCCCCGCGCCGCGGCCGCCGCCGCCGCTGCCGCCGCGCGCAAACCTGCACTGTGCATATGTGTGCTCGTAGGAGCCTCGAGAAGCCCCCGACGATGCTCTCCCCTGTTTGGAGCGAGCGACAAAAAGAGAAGAGGCCGCGTGTGTGATGCTGTTGCCCCCCTACACCTACATGCCGCGCCCACTTACACATACCAGTACCAAGGGAGTCGATCCTGCGCCCCTGACGGGGGCCCCTCCGCGCGTGGGGGCCCCCGGTTGCGAGCGTGAGCGTGCGCATCATCTTTGGAAGCCGCGAGCGCGCCCCGCGGCCCCGCGCCCCGGCGCCGCCTTGAGCGGCGCCCGGGCCGGGCGTGGGGCGCAGGTCAAAAAGAGCGGGCGCCCGGGGCTCGCGGCCCTGCGCGTGCGCCCTAGCGCGTGCGCGGCCGCCGCCCCGGGCGGGGGCGCGGGCTGGCAGGCCCCTTTGCGTGTGCGGTCTGCCGCCCGCCCCCTCTTGCCGTCGGATCAGGTCCCCTTGTACCCACCCTACTTGTGCTGCACCCATCGAAGCGTCGAGCAGCGAGCACACTACAGGTCCCCACGTGTCGACACATCTCACACTGGCGCGCGCTCACCGCGCGGGGTGGCTGTCCGCCCGGGGCGCCCCGGGCCCCTACACAACACAGGCTGTCGCGCTTGCACTTTTTTGAACTTTGATCGTGGGCCTTTTAAGGGCCGCGTGGGCGAGGCAGGCGGGCGGGGGTTTCCTATTGGAGCCCCGCCGGAAGCCGAGCAGACGGACTCGTGGGGTACCGGGGGAAAAATATACGAAGCAGTTACGAGGCTGCGGGGAGCGCATCAGGGGAGGGACGAGGTTCTCACCAGTGCCCCCGCGCGTTTGTGGAGGTTTCGATGTGCAACCATTTCCGGTTGTCGCCCGTGTGTTGTCGTGGTCTTGATGCGAGCCGATTCAACAGTCGTGGTGCCGCTCTGGTCACGCGCGGCATGTCGTCTGGTTTGTGCTGCCGCGTGTGGCGTTTGTTCAACCCGTCTCGGAACCCCTTTCTCGGCCGGCCGCGCAGGGCGCCCGCCCACGGGCGGCTCCCCGCGCGCAGCGCTAGCGAAGCACTGCTAGGAGCGCTGTGTTGTGGCGCACCTTGTCTAGTGAGCGGCAGCGCGTTGGTGCAGGGGACCCCCCACCCTCGCGCCCGCCCCTGCCTGGGGACCCGCTGCCTGGCAGATCGCCTGCACCCTCGCCAGCCCCCCAACAGGCGGCGTTTTTGCGGCGCGGTTGTGTGTCCTGGTGATCGTCGAGAGAACCAAAAGCCGTAGGGTAACGACTCCGAACTGTGCGTTGCAGGCGCGGCCTGTACTGGCGGCCATGCCATCCAGCCTGCAGTGATCAGCCTTCAGCCAGAAGCACCCAAGCATGGGGCGCCAGCTTACTGAGGCCCCGCGCCCAGGCCCATGTCAGCACCTTCCCAGCTCCGGCCAGCGCATTTGTCCACTGCACTGCATGCGGCCGCGGGGATTATCACTGGTACTGCTGCGCCTTGTGTACAACAAAAACGCCACGGCTGCCCATCCTCTCAGGTTTGTGCACCCCTACTTTGAGCCGCTCTCCTACTTCGGCCGAGCTTGAGACAGCATGTCTTCCTGTGATCCTTATTGTCAGCTCCCAAAGTGGTCCAGAAGTGGCCCACAAGCACCTGTTAGCGCAGCTCTGCTCTTCACAGTACCACCATCCTCATACACTTTGCTACGGGCGGCCGACAGCCCTTGTCTGCTTGCAAACCTCAGCCTCCCTGCCAGCACTGCCCCAGCGCTCCCCTAGTTGAACGGCCATCCCGTGCCAGCACATGAAAGCATTATTGTAAGAACAGAGATAAGAGCAATAAAGACAATTTTTTGGGAGTTTTGTGGAAAAACAACAGGTGAGGTTACATCAACAGGTGACGAACAGGTAAGTAATCAAGCTGGACTGACCAGGCCACACGCCGCGCGCCCAGTCCAGACGAAGACGCAGCCTGCAGGCATCGCAAGGTTTGAAATGGGCACAGCAAAGCCTAGGGCACCCCTCTGTGCTTGTGGCAATGCACACGGCGCGCTGCAGCTGGTTTGGCGCGACGCGGCTGTGTCTCGGCGCCGTCGTGGTGGTGTGGGTGCTTGTGCTCCCCATCCCGTCTGCGTGTCATGCAGGCTGCAGGGCCTGCAACCACCCTACCATGGGTCAGGCGGCACTCCTGTCCCAGGGCGAGTGTCAACCCCTTGTCAATGCTGTGTGATGACCAGGAGCCAGGACGGCGGCGCTTTCGGTGTTATGCGGGCGACTTGAGCACATCGGGTCAAACGCTGGGTCAAACGTTGCCTGAGACCATCATAAGCACCGGGGCGCAGACGAGGGCACCGCAATCTGGGGCGCACGAATTTCTAGTCAGGCTGAGCCGATCGTATCACCTCCCCGCTCTCGCAGGGCGCCGCCGCGTCGCCGCCACGTCACTCGTCCCCGGAGCACGTCGCGCCACCTGACGCGCCCTCGCTCGCCGACGAGCCGCCGGCCGGCAGCGCCTTGACCGTCACCGTCGCCAGCCGCCGGCCGTCGGGTGACAGCCGCAGCGGCACTGCCTGCAGCACCACCTCCCCGCGCCCGCGCCGCGCGCCCGCGCCCTCGCCGCCCCGCCGCGGCCGCGCGCCCGGCGCCTCCGCTTCGAGCGCCCGCAGCGCCGGCCGCGGCG